CTTCTGGCCATATACTTCATTGGGCTGACTCCAGAGGTCAAAGTTAAATTAGTGGAATGACTGGCAAATTAACATTATCTCAACTAGTAAGCAGGCTGAACCCGCACGGCTGATGTGGAGTTCATCGGTGCTTTTTGTCCAACAGAATGCTTTTTTTTCTCAATGCATTGTTAAGTTTTGTCGGATCTTGCGTTTCTGGTGATTTTAGAAAGCTCTCATGAGCCGGACAATTAAAATTAGCTAAATGAGACGCGATAGTCACATATTTGGACCTTTCAAATTCGCAACTGAAAAGCGGAAGCCTATCACCTAGTTGAAACAGTACGGAAAATTGAAATTTCAGTGTTTACTTGTAGGTCCGGTTGGCTGGATGTGTTGTGTTGCCGGCTTTTGAACCTAAGATAGTCGCAAATGCGTGCAAATTGTCGGCAGTTAAACCTTCTCTTGGGACTGGTGTGCAGTGAACATTAAAAAATTCTTAAAAATACTCTTAGAGCCTTTCAGCTTGAATCAGTATTTGGAGCGCGTGATTGACGGCCTTTTAGAGGCGAGATTGGCAGAATGTTTCCGAGGCTGTCACTGAAGACGTTTGCAGCCACGATGACCAAAGGTTTTAGGTTATGGTGGCTTAATATGAGGTTAATGGTTAATGTTAGCTTCAACAAGTGGTGAGTCTTAGTGCGGCTGGTATTATGGCATTACTTGCCTAGTAGACGTAAAAATAAGTTGGATTAGTATAGTGGAGTGACACTCTTTCCCTTTTCTCAAGGCCTCGCAGATGGTGTGATTCGCTCCAGTGGGACGTCCAGTCGGAACGGTAGAGGATTTTCGTTCTCAATCGCTAATCCTCGTGTCAGCTTGCGTCAATCCAGCGATGTCTTCACAGACGGGCCCAAATTAGCCTCTACTGCTGCTCGTAGCCCTATGGAGGTGGAATTCATGCGTGAAGCGGAGCTCTTTTTCTCCAACCTTGAGTCAGAATTTATGTGGCCCTTTCTGCAGCGACATTTCTTTCTTTCTCCTCAAAAAGTGCGTTGTGGATGGGTTTCTGCGGTTCGCTTTATGGTGCAGCACCTGCCGACGGATACGTATCCGGAGGTTCGAGGCTGCCACTTGCCTCGCATGGTCTCAGGCTTGACGACTACTTTGAGCGAGCGGATGTGTCATCTCAGTCTGGTGGAGATCGCCGAGTTCATTGATTTGCTGGTCATTCTGATTACTCAAATCCAAGAGGTGAGCCTATATCCTAGGCAAAGGGATGGCTGTGAACAGCCGCTAGTCAAATTGTAGGATTGAGCTCAGTAAAAAGATGCTCTGTCGTGATAATGTAGCTTACACCATTAGTGTTAGGTCTGTTATCACACACTTTCTGGTCTCCATTTGAGATGCTGCATTGCAAGATGGGGTGCAAGAAACGGTGGTAGTGCATGGGTGCTATGGTCTGCTGACGTGTTGGTACAGCCTGGTCACCTTTCTGAACTGGACTTCATGAAAATGGTGGTTTCAGTGCTACAATTACGTGGTTATGCACCGCTGAAGTGGTGCCAATTCGCCACGTTGCAAGGCAGGTCCCACAGGTGGTGACGTTTGAGACGCACTACTTCGTACTTTGGTCAGAAATTCTATAATGAGATGTAGGATGTTCACTGCACCTTACTCTCATCCAAGGGTAGTCTAGATTTATAATTTCAACTGAGTTGGACAAATTAGCGACAAAACTTTCTGCGTCTGGCTGGACTAGCTTCTTCAGTGAAACACCTTTATTTTAACCGGTACATATGTTTCAAACGGATGAACATTGTTGTGTTCAGCATGAGATTGCTGAATGTACTTGACGCGGTTGGAATGATTTGTGGGCTTC